TAACTAAGAATTATATTTTATCTAAAATTTTAAAAAGGTATTAATTAAGATTAGCTTTCATTTAAGGTATTGTTAAAAAAAAGTTTATTTTAATTTATAACTTTTCAAATAATTTATGGTTACCCATTTTAAATTTAATCCGAACGTTAAGAAAAAAGGCACTACAAATTTATGTTGTGCTGCTCTTTTAATATTTTATTAATTTTTTTGAACGCAATAGAATTTTTACTGTCTTAGTGATTTCAAATTTACTTATTTTTAGTTTGTTTAAGGTTGAAGGAGAGAAACCTCAAGGGGTGTTGTTCAAGCACGGCAGTTATAAAAAAAGAATTCGCGGTTTTCTATCTCATTATCTTTTAATAAATTAATAACTGTTTTTATATAAGATTCGAAAATATATACTTTTTAGAACTTTCTCCAAAAAATAATTTTTCATAAATATTAAAATATAATATCAAAGCAAATGTAGCAAGTGTGTTAAGAAAGAAGACTCTCACGAGGCTACAAAGAGCGCATGTGTTTCATTCTCTGTAATAGTGTAACAAAAGTTGTGTACGTAATTTATCCACCTAGGATGTGAGTCGTCATCGTAGCTCAGTGGAGAGAGCAATCTTGCGTAGTCTCAAGGTAGCGGGTTCGACTCCCATCGGTGCCAACTCGCATTTTAATGATCTGGTGGTTAATTGTTCAAGTTACCTTCATACATTGACTGACTGATTTCAATAGTATCCATTATTTTATTTATATTAAATTTAACTTGTAAATCTTTCATTTTATATTTAAAAATATTTTATTTATAGAAAAGAAAATGATAAGAAATACTATTTATTAACTTATTTCTTTGGGTGTTTTTTAAATAATAATAATAATCATAATATAATATATTAACAATATTATAATAAAAACAACAATAAGCAGGTATAACTATTGGTTATATTCATGTACAATGCAAAGTTCCACAACAATTTAGACCTCAGCTTGTTTCTCCGGATACTCCTGTTTATTTGGATTTACAGGCAACAAACTTTTATATATACATTTTATTATTAGTATTATTATTATTATTTACTCTATTAAAGGTTTTTACACCTACAAAAATTCTTCGTTACCATTTTGTTGGAATTCCCACGTGCGTTATGCCCGATTATTTCCAGCTGGCTTCTAGAACGCAAGTATTGGGCTTATTTTATATAGCATTCTACGCTTGATTATTGTGAGCGTGCATAAAGGCTCATTTTGTTTTTTACGATAGGCAGAAACCTGCACATCTTTTATAATGAGTTTTCAAGCGTACTTTAGGAAAATGACTATTTGTTTTGGGCCAATCACATTTAATTTAAAAAAATAAAAAATTTTGTTGACCAATAAAAAGTGTTAATATAATACTTGGCAGTAACAAACATTTTCTTAGATTTAATTTTATTTTAAAAACTTCATTATTTTGGTCTACTAATATAAAAGGAGCATGAAAAGACTATTTTAATTGGCTGAATACAATCATGATTTTTAATGTTAATAAAAAGGTCACAGAAATTATGTTATTTATTTTTTTTTAAAAAAAACTTTTGTCTAAGGAAAACCGGTCTTCCAACGCTTTTACAATACAAGCGTGCGTTATGCTTAACGGGATTTTCTATAATAACTTATTGGAGTGGGTCGCCTATCATCGTTTAATAGGTACTTTTTTATTATATATAAATATATATTATATAACTCTACTAGATAATATTGTTTATTTCTTGATAATAAATACCATTTTAACTATATTATTTTCAATATATATAAGGAATAGACCACTTTCTAATATACGTTAACGAGGATCCCACAAAATACAGATTACTGTTAAAAAATTACATAAAAAAGGGTTGAAACTCTCTACTGGTTCTTTTTAATGGTATTTTATTGTTATTTTTGCCTATAGGACATGTAGAGGTTGTTGATTGGGACACTTTTGCTGTGTTCCATTCCCGATATGGGCATGCTAGTGGTTTTTACGATCAAGGTATCCAATAAAGGAGAAAGGTTATATTATTATCATTATTACTGGTTTAAAAAAGATGCGCAGTTGGGCTCATGTCTCCATCGAAGCGTGGGCCGTTTTGACTATTTTATTTCTTACGATGTTGATGAGTTTATTCAAGTTCGTTCTTATTTTCTAAAGAAAAATCTAAATGCCCTGCACCCTCGTGTGCTGAAACTTTCACTAAAAAAAGCGCTTGTTTCCTGGGAGGGTTGCAGAGGTTGCTATTTGCCTTGCATTATACGCGACCGTCGCGTGAAACTTAAAACTTTATATAGGCGACCAACCACAAGCGGGCTCTTTAAAAATTAAGAGCCAATTTTTTGGTTGCTGGACTCCCAATTACGGAAAATTACATAAAGAGCTAAGTTGGGCCCCAACCGACCGTCTTATTATAAGATACCACAATAAAAGTGCCTCATTTTGTTATTATTATAAATGTTATCGCTTTTCATAATAATTATAGTAATTTTTATTATGCTTAACGTTAAGATTATATACAACAATAAATAATAACTACCAGATATAATTATAAAATCTATAAAAGTTACAATAACAAAAAGTTATTTTTACCAATAAATATTATTGTTGTTAATGATAAGTATATAATATTTAATTAAATTATTAAGTTATATTTTAATCATTATCATTCGTAATTGATATTGTTATGAAGCTAATTATAAACCTAAAAGCTATAAATTGTTTACTTAGTATTATTATAATATAATTATTATGTAATATTTTACAGAGTATATAAGAATAAATAATATATAAACTTATATATTAATTTAAAAATTTTTTTTAATAAAAAAAAAATCACTCAGTCATTGATTAATAAAACCCAGTTTACTGGCAGTTATCATACTTGATTATATTTTATCGTTAGTAATTATTATTATATGTGTTATTGTTGTTGAACTACTACTAATTATTTTTATCGGTACTGCTATTTTTATTATTAAACATAATAATTAGTCTATTTTTAAAGCTTGGAATATTATTATTTTTAATTATTTTTTGTTTCTTTATTAATATTTTTAAGATATTTAATTTTCAATTATATCTGTTATCACCAGTACCATTATTTGACGGTTAGGATTGTTATAATTATTTTGCTGTTATTATTGATAAATAGTGTTTTTTTTAATGTTTTCTTGTTAATAAGTACAAATAGTAATAAACTTATAATGTATTACTTCCCCGATAATAAAAGAATGTTATTAGTAAGACTACTATAAATAATTAACAGCATAAATTATTATTGTAAATAATAATAATTTATACTGTTTTCAATATGAGAATTACAAATAGTGCATATAAACTTAATATTTTCTCGTTGGTAGTGACTGTTATTATTTATATTTATTAAAAATTACGTATATATTGCTATATTAAATTTACAAGTTCAAATAATTAATTTTGTTACTATCTTAGCATATGATCTGAAAGGCCACTCTGTTCTGTATAATGCAGTGTTTTCTGCTAACCAAGCGATTCCCAACAGAAAATGTATATTTACTTCATATGCACTTTTAAAAACTTAAATTTATTCATTTAATAAAAAGTTTATTACTTTTTGTAATTAATCTAAAGAAAGTAAATTTATTTAAAAGCTAAATCACTTCAAAAGCCTGAACGAATAGCGCAAACATCTGTACATCAACCATTTTCTTATAAGCAAGGCTACACCGAAGTTAATTGTAATAGCGAAGTTATACGAATTGTGCATTACAAAAAGGAGCGTCTAGGTGTTTTTGAGCTGGAAAGTTTGCCGAAGAAGATGGACAGAAATTATAAAACCCATCCTGTTCGTCTGGACTTGTCTATGCGTGAGTATTTGCCTGCTTTAACCGAGGAACTATTTTTATTTCAAAACAAAGAGTTCTGTATTGATAGTAAGTACCCTTTTTATGTAGATTTATCAAATTCTTAAGAGCTTGAAAGTAATACGAATTTTTAGAATAATTTAACGAATAAAAATATGTTTATCTCATTTGCTTATTTTTTTAACAGTTTTAGCTTTTCAACTAAGCTATATTCATGGTCATTACCTATAAATAAAATCTTTTACTAATCAAAAGTGTATTATGAGTGAAATAAACGTAGAAACAGTTTGTCTAGATTAAAAGTTTTAGCTCAAAAAAAAAAACCGGAAATTTAAGTCACCATTGGGAGTAATTAAAAATAGAAAAATAGTTTTTATTTATTGAAGCATAACTAAAAAAACAAACAACGCATGTTAATAGGAACACCTTACATTAAAGTTTTCTCTAACGAAAACAAAAATAGTCAGGTTTGAACCTTATTTTATTAACTTTTTTAGGTAATAACGTTCGTATTTAGTAAATTAATTATCTAAAAGATTTAATAACTAACAATATAATTAATTAGCTAAGTATTAAAAGAAGCAAGCATATTTTAGAAACAGGGCTAAATTTTGTTGCACTAATAAAAAGTACCTTTTAACTTCTTTTTAAGAACTAACTTTTTAACTATTAAAACTATATTATACCTTTACTCCATATATATAAATTTTGTAGATGCAGTTCATACTGAATAATCACTTGAAACTGAAAAGAAAGATAAGTTAATATTATTTTCGGAAATTCTTCTTTGTTAGTGTATAATTACGACAATTAAGTACCAGTTATTATTTTAAGTTAATAAAACTAATTAGTAATTTTTTAAAAAAAATTCTGATTACAAGTAATTAACTGAATATAACGTCATAAATCATTTGTAAAAGAAAAGTAGATAAAAAATTGTTTTAACTCTAAAATTTACATATAAACTTTTTATAAAACTTTATAGAAAAAAGTATATTTAAAAAATAGAGTACAATAGTATCTACAATAACTTTATACTTTTAATAATAATATAATAGTAAAAGTTGTTAAAGCTCGAAAACAAGAACTTAAACGTACGTAACGAAGTTTGTACTAGCTTTAAAGGAGGGTCAGCACGGAAATAGGAGTTTTTATGTTTTTTACCTTGAGCGAAGTAATCTTGATTGATATTATCGTTCTTACAACTTTTTTTTCTTTGCTGGAATTATCTTTGTAGAAATGGGAAACAAAAAAGTTTATGTTAATGCGAAAGCGTTAGCAGCTAAAGAACGACTGGAGCAAAAAAAAATAGCAGAAAAGTTATTGAAATTTTTCTTCACTAAAAAAGTTTTATTAATTTATTAAAAAAATTATTAACGTTGAGTTCCTATTCAATTAATATGTTAATATTTATATACAATGTTTCTTGTCTTCCTTTAAAGTAACTTTAAATATAACTGACTTTTAAAATTATTATATTACTAGTAGATTTACTTATTAATTCTTTTTAATTTATTATGTTTACTATAAGAAATATTGTCTTTGTATATCGACAAGTTTGGTATTATATTTTATTATATATATATATTAGTTATATTTCTCGTAGTAAATTTGTAAATTTTATTTTTTTATTTTTATATAGAGAGCGATTAAGATTAATAAAGGACGAGCGGGAGTGGCACGACGAAGGATCTAAAATCCAACAGAAAAGAGCAGCGAGAAAAGTATTTATTATAATAATTATTAATTTTTATAAGATAATAAATTTTAAAGGCCCTCCAAGAACAAAAGAAAGAGGCAACTCTCTCACGAAAAAAGGCCGCTAAAGAAGCTTTAGAAGAAGAAAATAAACAACTAAAAGTTCCTTTTATTATTATTATTTCTATTTTATTTTGATTTTAGATTCAATAGTTAAATGTAGTTATAATTTTATGGATTATAACACTTTTTTTTTATATAAATAACTTTGTTAACATACCACTATTTTTTATTTTTTATATAAATAAAAATTAATATACTTGTAAAAATTTTTAATTTAATCTAATTTTTTTTATTACTTATAATATTTAATTAAACAAACTCTTAATATTGTTTGAACGTGTAATATTTACCTTACTGGAATATTGAACACTTTTACATGAATAGTTTATTAACACTACTATTTTTTTTATTTTTATTATAATTAAAATAAAAATTATATATAATTTTTCCTAGTTGATCTTAAAGTTTTTATATCTTCTATTAATTTAATAAATTTTTAGAATTTGTGGACTTTATAATATTAACTTTTTTAAGTTTTTAACTCTTTTAATTTTTGCAGTTTTATTATTTTCTAATTAACCGTTGTATTTAATCTAAATTTTAGATTTTTTATAAACTTTAGAGTTATTATTTTTTATTAAATTGAAAAATATATTGTTTTACCCTAAAGAAAATTTTTTTTTTATTAAATAGTCCTAATTTGGCTACTTTTATTAAATAATGTGAAGGGCAAAAAGGAAAATGCACCTAAAAAAATTACGCAACATGAAATATTATTAATGAAGGAAGAAAAATTAAATTCAGCCAACTTAGAAAAAAATTTAAGACCGAATTTTGGTACTTTTTTTATTTTATTTATGAAAAAAATATATTAAATTTTTTTTTTAAAACTTTTTTATATAAGTTTATATTACCTTTATTCTATGAAAAATTTATAAATTTTTTGTAATAAAAAATTATAATTTAAAGATTTACAAGAGTTTAAAATTATTTTTTAAAGCTGTTCAAAAAATTTTTGTTACTAAATGAATAATTTAAAGATTTACAAAAGTTTATATTTAATTAAAATTTATAAGGAAACTTCATAAAATTTTTAAACTTAGTTAACGAAGTAAAGATTTAAAAAATTTTATATTTATTTTATTTTTCAGGAATTTTCATATTTTGTAACTAAATTTTTCAATGTTAAAAATTTACAGAAGTTCATATTTAAAATAATTTTACAAGAAAATTTGGGAAAATTTTTTGCATTATATTTTGTCTATTTTAACAGTTTTATTTCTTTCCATTTAATTTGATTATTCGTAACATTGAAAATATAACTTTTAATTTTTTACAACTTTTGCAGGTTTTATTTATTTATATTTTTTCAACTAACTAAATTTATTATTTAAAGATTTACAGAACTCTATATTAAACTTTATGAATACTTTATAAATTTTTTTACATTCAAATTTATTATTGTTTTATTAATTTCAGTTTTATAATTTGGTATATATAAATTTCTTTTAATTTGCTTTATTATTATTTATAAAATATTAACTTTTTTTATTATTTTTACTTAACAACAGAAATTAAATTAAAATATATTCTAAAAATCCAATATTAATTTTTTTGAATTTATTTTTATATTAATAAAACTTTTTAATAAGTTTTGGTACGAAAAAAAAGAGTTTATTATTTTTATTGTTTCAGTTTTTTATTTTAACTTTTAATAAAAAAAATAAATTTTTTAAAAATCTATACAAAAATGGAAATTCTTTTTATATATAAACATTTGAAAGAAAATTTTTTTTTGTGTTATTAATTTCTTATTATATAATATTTTTAAACTACTTGACATGTTAATAATATTTTTTTACTTTTTATAATTACCAAAATTTTATTTTATTCTATCCATATTTATTTTGAAAAAAAAATATTATTATTTAAAGCTTTTAATATATTAATTTTTAATTTTTCTTTAAATATAATAAAAAAAATTTATTAATCTCTTAAAAGTTTTCAATAACTTTCAAAAGATATATAATGAAAGTTTTTTTAGTACTCATTTTTATTAAACTTTTTAAAAATTATAATAAAAATGACAATTTATTATTATTATCCATTAACTTTGTTTAAAGCGCTTATTAATTATCACGTATTATTATTATGAATTATAATTTATATCTAATTATCATTTAATAATTATTATAATTTGGATTATCGTTTATTGTAATTATTACTAATTATTATAATTAGAATTTTTATAAATATTATTATGTTCTTATGTATTATTATTATAAGTTATTATATTAAAATTAATATGATAATGTGTTATTATATTATAACTATTTATCATAATTATTATTTTTGATAATCATTTCATAATTATTATTATTATTACTATTCTTTATAATAATTTACTATAATTATTGTTCATTTATATTAAGTTATTATTATTATTTTTTTGAGTGATATTATTACCAAGTATTATATATACTTATTTATCATTTTTGTCATTATTTATTATTATTGTTGTTTATTACTAATTAAATTACTGTTAAATATTATTATTTATAATTCTTTATTATTTATTAAATTATTTTTAATTATTTATCGTAATAATTATTATATTTAAATTTATTATTATTATTATTTAATAATATAATTATCAAAATCATTATTAAGTATTAATAATAATCATACTTTTTATTTTTTTTTAGAACTTCCAGATTTTATAAATCCAAATAAAGAAAAAGCGGCTCTCCTTGCTGAAGGCCACGTGGAGGCTCAAGGGATAGACGAAGCGTTGAGTCTTTTAAACTTGGCTCAGACTAATCAAAAAACTGTTTTTTATTATAAAGCTTTTACTATTTTTTATTTTTTAATATTGATGAAATTTATTATTATTGATTTTTTTTTTAAACTTTTAATAATTTAAAAATTTTTTAAACTTTTATTGTTATTGTTATGCTTCTTTATTTTATTTTTTATTTTTCATGTTATTTTTTTTTACAATTTTTTTTATTGGTATTAGTAATCATTTTTTCTAAATTTTTTTTCCTTTACTATATATCTTATTTAGTTTTATATGTTTTAAAAGTTATAATTATTATTATTTACTTTTACTATTACTATAAATATTTTTTTATATTTAATTTTTTGTTCATATTTTTAGTTTTATATATTTTTTAAAGTTATTACTATTTTTACTTATATTTAATTTTTTAAGAGTCAATATTTTGTTAGTTTTATACAATTTTAAAGTTAAACTATAAGTGTTGCTACAAATAATTTTTATATTTATTTACTATTATTTTATTAAATTTGTAATTTTTATAGTAATAATTATTATTTCCATTTTCTTTTGATAGTTATTATTATTCATTTATTTATATTATTTATATTTGTTATGTTCAACTTTTTTCCCCATTATTTAATATTATCTATTAATATTTTATTATTTTCTTATCATTCTTATAATTATTATTATGGAAATATTATATTTTTGAGTATAAAATTTATTATTTATTTAATTTATTCTACTTTCTATATTAATTTTTATTATTTACTTTTTGTTTTTCTTATTATTATTTTAAGTTGTTTTATTTATTTTTATATTATTATTATTAAATTTTTAATTTTTTTTTAAATTTTATTATTGTATTGTATTATTTACTTATTTATATGAAAATGTTATTATTATATAAAATAATAATTTTTATTTATTTACGATATTAACATTATATTACTTTTACTTATATATTTTATTAATATTTTATTATCTAATTATTAATATGTAGATTTTTTTTTGTTTTACTAATTATTATTACTATTTTAATTTATGGTATAATTTTTATATTTATTATGTTATTTTTTTTTTTAATAATATCTATTTGTACTTTTCTCATTGTTTTAATTATGAATATTATATCACAAATAATATACTAATCACTTATTAATATGTGAATTATGTTTTGTTTTACTTGTCAATAATAATTTTTATTTATTTGTTATAATAATATTATATTATATTATTTTTAAAAATTTATTATATTTTTCTATTTCTTTTTTAAAATTTATTACTATTATTTTTCTAAATTATTAATTTCTTATATACTTTTCAACCAATTTTTTAATTTTTATATTAATATTGTGTATTATAATTATATTTTTTTAATTTTATTCTACAATTTGTATGTATTAGAATAATATTATATTATTATAATTAACTCATAATAAAGAATTACTCATTTTCTTATATTATCACTTTCAATAATGCACGATTATATTATTATAAAACAATTATTTTTATTATTAATTATAATAGAAACGCTTAACTTATAAAGAATTTGAAAGCATGCATTTGGAACAGGCTAATTATTATTATTATTATTACTGCTATTGTTATTATAAATACTATTATTGCTATTTATATAATACTTATTTCCAATACTATTAATATTATTAATAGTATTATTATATAGTATCTATTAGTATTTTCAATACTACTACTATTATTATTGGAATTATAATAATTTTATTATAATTAAAATGTTTTAATAAAAATTATCGTGTTTTATATATTTAGAAATCCATAGATATATAAAGTTTTTTGTTTATAATTTATATTTTATATTATTGTTTATTAAAAAGTTTAGAAAACTATTATCATTACTATATTATTTAAAAATGGTTCACAAAATATTATAAAATTTTTATACAACTCTTACACTATTGATTAGTTTGCTTATAAACTTTTATGTTTATTATTATTATTATTGTCTTTGATATATTATTATAAAAAGTTTTTTTAAAAAAATATTTTGTATTATTATTATAATCATTATTACTGCATTTCAGAGCCTTTGGAATAATGCTGGTACTTCTTATTGGCTCGTTGTTTTAAACGCGCTGTGTATTGGCTAGTTTGATATTGAAAATTATCACTTGGCGTAGGAAATATCTTTAAATTGGTAGCTCTATTTCTAGTGGCGCCATTATAAATAAAGCTGCGTGATTGCATAAACATTTAGCACGAGCACGTGAACCGTTGAATTATCTTGCGCTTCATAAAGCTCCTTATTTGTAATTTAATGAGCTTTAATACTAAAAGGCGCCGAAATAAAACCGTCATTGCCGCGTGCTTGTTCTTAACGAAGTTTTATTTTATTTTTTTTCAATTTTGTTTGCAAATTTGTGAGCTGAAGAAACACGATAATATAAATTCCTCGTTAACATTATTTTTTATAAATAATTTTTCTTATCAGTTATTAAATTTTTTCATAATAACTATATTTTCTTAACTTTTATAATACTCAATATCATTTTATTTTTATATTTATTATTTATTGAATTTTTCACACTATTTTTTTTATAGAACTTAATAACATTATCCTTTAAGTTTGTTTTTAATTACTATATTCATTATTAAGTTCACCTTTTATTATAACTTTCTTTCGTTGTTAACTTTCTTATACTACTCAATCATATTATTTCTTATATATATTTTATTTTTATTATTATTTACATAATTTTTTTATTATACAATATAATTTTTTCTAAATATATTTTTTATCCACAATAACTATTTTATATATATATATTTCTATATTTATTATTTAACTTTTCACATTAACTTAAAAAAATTTCTTTATTTATTTTTATTGTACTCAAACTATTTTCCTTTTACTAAATGATGAATTTTTTAGGTTAAAGCCGAATATCCAACACTAAAACTTCAACAACATAAAGTTATGATAAGAAAAAACTGGATAAAAAGTCCTTTGAATCCCTTAAACCAGAAATAAAAAGTAATAACAATAATAATAATAATATATCCACTATTTTTCGATACACAATTTGTAATTAAAATTGCAGCATTTTTATTTTTTATTTTTTGATAAATACTCAATAATTTTAAAAGAAATTTAATACAGAAGATTTTGAAAACTTTTTAATTTAATTTTATTAAGAGTTGTTTTTTTATTTTTTCAATATTTTAATTTAAATTCTGTGAAAAATTTAATTTGAAAATTTATTAATAATCTTATATTATAGATTTATTAGTTTAATTTATTTTTTTAATATTTTTTTATATAAAGATCATCATAACTTTTTTTCTTTAATTTTATAAGTTTTTTTATTTTTCAGATATTTGTAAAATATGATTTTTGTAATTGATTTTAAATTTTCATAAAATAGTGTAAATATAATTTTTATAAATTTTGTTTTTTTTTAAATTTTTTTCATAAAAAATTTATTTTTTTTTTGTATTTGTATAGTATTATTTTTGTAATTTTATTTGTTTTTTTTACTCTATCAGTAATTTTTTTTAAAGTTACTTTTTCTTTGTAATATTATAAATTATTATTTTATAAATTTAATTTTTTTTTAATTTTATTAATTACACTAATAATTTTATGTAAGTAATCTTTAGTATTATAAATTATTGTTTCTGGTATAAATTTTAAGATTGTTTATATTAAATATAATTTCTATAAAAATTAATTTATTTGTATTATTTATTATTTTTTATTTAAAAGTTATTATTAATAATGTTCAAAGCTTTTTTTGTATTATTAAATATTTTTGTAATATATTTTAATATTAAATATTTTTAAGTTGGTTTTTTCTCTGGTATTTTTAAAAAATCTTTTTAATATATTTAGTTTTTCAGTTATTTCACTTTATTAATTATATTTTTACTAATTTAATTAGTTTTTTATGGAATTATTGTAATAAATTTTATTTTTTTTTAATTTTTTTTTACATTCATATATTTTTTAAAGTTATTTTTATTTCTTTAGTATTTTCTATAATATTCCTGTAACACATTTCTTTGTATTAATAATTTTAATAACTTTTCTAAAATATAATTATTGTACTAAATTTTAATTATTAATAGTTTTTTAAAAATTCATTATACAATTCGTTAAAAATCATATTTTTTCATTTTTATTTTGTCTAAATTTTATTTCTAATTTTTTTTCTACTTCGTTTTATTTCTATTATCATATTAAATATAATTTCGTTCCCTTTTCATATTAGTTATGAAATTTATATATATATAAAATTTTCTATTCATAGTTTTTATTTTTAGGATTCAAATTATTCAGTCCCTCTAAATCCCTTCCTTTTTGCGCTTTTATAAGTATTATTGGTGTTCTATTGTTAGAATAAAAAAAACTTTCCATTATATAATAATAATAAAGTTTTCCAATGAAAAGTTAATAGTTTTTTTATATATTCTATTCTAAACTTTATTGTAAATACAAATTTCCAATCATAAAGCCCTATTTTTGTTTTCAACTAATTGAATGTCCATCTGAATGTCTACCAGCAACTTAATCACGCGGTTATTTTTTAAAGAAAAGAATAACACACGTCATATTATCGCAACCGACGCCTTTAGACAGGGTCGGGCTGCTGGACACGCATCTGTCCAATAACTCTTCGACAATTTTCTCGACTGTAGGCGTCTGGTTACCCTATTGACTATCACTAAAAAAGTGGCTAACGAAGGTTTTAAACAGAAAGGCTAACTTGAAGCCGCGATCGAACAAAGTCGCAGGCTTCCTGATTGGACAGCACATCCCAAACACCGTCACACGCGATTATTAGAAACTCGTGATCCCGCTCCCGACGGACCACTGAAAGTTCTGGTTCCGCCGTGATAATCTGCTCAGCCAATCCGAGGCTTTTGTTTTGTTTGTATTTCAGGTCTGTTAGCGTACCGCATGAGGTGAAAAGTATATATAAAAATCCCACGCGGGCAGTATATTACCGCCAATGGCGCGGGAGAGATTCAAGTTGCCATTGGCCCGGTATTGACCGCATATATTTTCTACGAAACCGCCCGCTTTTTCTACCAGAAAATATAGAATTATATAAATTAACAAATCTCGAGGATTTCTTATTTTGAGCCACTCACGGATTCTAGCGCGTTCCTCCAAATGGTCTGGTTTGTGGTCACGTGTCAGTGCAAAAGCCACGCCATTTTTGCAAATGACTGCTCGAGAGTCACCTGCCCATCCTTTTATGAAAAATATTTGTATGATAATGAAAAGTTTCATAAATTATAATATAAAATTGTAATACACCCAATGAATTGCTGCTTAGTTTCTTAACCCATAAGAAAATCTGACAGAACTAGCCATTAAAAAACTTTCCTCTGTTTTTTTTTTTTACGCAGAATATGATTTGTTTTAACCCCGCTATTGCACGCGGTGTTTTTAATAAAGTAAAAAAATTATAGCCCTCTAGTAAGTAGGAAAATTAACAAGGTCATCCAATGGAAAGCCTTTTTTTAATCAAATTGTAGTAAAGTGCTACGCAAAAAATTCCGTGGTTTTGCACGATGTGTTTTCATACAGTAAAAAAAAGTTATTTTTTTGTTAATAAAAAGTAGCGGTGCTTTTTAGCGGGTAATGATTTGTTCAAAAAATTTTAAGTAACGTTTAACCAGTGAAATTGTGTTGGTTATATATAACAGTAAAGTTCTTTAACAAAAGTTCAAAAATTAAATGCTTTCGACTCCGCCTATAAGAATGAGAAGCTCGCCCAATCGATATAACTTTTTTTTAAGAAAATTTGCAAAGCACGTGAATAAACCGAACAAAATGCTTAAAAAAATAGTGGGCTCGCCGCACTCAATATAGTATATATACTAGTAATCATCTACAACAGTACCGCTACCTATACAGGACGAATCCCGTATAGGAACTAGCACTACGGGATTTAGAGGCGAGCCAACCGGAACCGAATGAAACCCAAGGTAAAGAGTCCATCTAGCCCAAAGCTGGCCAAGCCAACCCAATGACAAAGTTTTGGTTTACGATAAATACATTTTTTTTAAGAAAATATTTTACAAAATATATTATGAACATCTACGCAGAATATTTACTCTTCTGTAACAAAATTTTCTTAAGTTTTGGTATAAAAAAAAGCAACGTGCTACAAAGTTAATATTTAAAAAAAATGTATATAAAAAACTTTGATAAGTTTAAAAGTTAAATAAAAAATAATAAATAAAAAGATATTAAAAACCAACTAATTTGAAAATCTAACTACAAAATAATTACGGCCAAATCAAATTATAAAATAAGATATATTAAGCAGTAAAAATGTTAACAAAAAAATTTTCAAAGCGTTGAATGTAATATTATCGGTAATATATTACCGATCAATCAAATAAAAAATAAAAACATATTAATAACCAACTACGTTAAAAATTTAATAAACAGAATCATGTTCAAAAAAGAAAATATAAACAAATCATAAGAATCTACAATGTGGAAGGTAATAACGTGAGAGTTTTACTTTATACAAGGTTAATGACTTAATAGTGCAAATAGTAGGAATAAACCAGTAAAAGTAATGATGAATAAATAAATGAGCCAATCAAATTAATAAAGAGTGAAATATATTCATTAAATAAATTTGTATCAATAAAAATAAGGATATAAAATTAAATAAAATTCAAATAAACAATTTTTAATATGTAAAAAATTACAAAATTATACAAAAAATTGATATAAGCAAATACATATAAAAATAAATAAAAGTAGTATATATAACAAACTTTTTTTAAAAATAATAATAATGAAAAAAGGTTTTATAAATAATGATAATAAGAGTTTCAAAAAGATAGGGAATAAATATTTCATCTTAAAAAATTTTATTAAAACTAATGGAAGCTAACCAAACGGAAAATAAAGCATAAGTTTAAACCTGTCAAAAAAATTTTAAATTGCAGCCACAATTTTTGTACCTACAGTCACGTGGTTATCATCAACGAGAGCTACAACAGCAGTACATCCGGCCTTCACGCGGTGTTCGGGCAGATTGCAGACCCTGACATTTACCAAATTAATAATAATAAAAAATAATAGAATTTTTATACCAAGATTCAATAAACATTTAAATAAAAGATTTATACTCAAAATTAAAATACTTTTCATTAAATTGCAAAACTTTAAAAATATTAATTACAAAAAATTTTGTAATAAAAAAAGTATGATAAAGATTTATTTTAATTAAATAATAAGTAAAAGCTTTTATAATGAAAATAAAATATTTTTTAGTAAAATGCAAAACTTTAAAAATAGTAATTTATACATACTATTTTGTTATATAAAAGTAAAATTATAATATACAATTATTTATTATAGAATAAGAATTAAAAGTATTGATTATAATAAAATACTTATCAGTAAATTTCAAAATATTATAATAAAGTAATTATTATTATTACTGCATTTTTTAATTATAAAAGAAACTAATAATAATTAGTAACTTATAACAAACAAGTTATTAAAATTATTATTGACATTATTATTATACATTGAACAAAAAAAAAGAAATAAAAAATATATTAACAACTGTAAAATATAATTATTATTGTTATTATTAAAAAAAATTAAAAATTTTTAATAAATTATATTTACGAAAGTATTGAAAGATAAAAAGTTTTTAAGTATTTTTTTTTAAATCATATAAATATTATAATGAAAAGCATATATTAAAATTATAATAATAACAATATTTTTTTGTAAATAAGGAGTAAAATAAAGTTTATAAATTATACAATAGTCTTAAAACAATCTCATTGTAATATAAAAATATTATTTAATATTAAAAATATATATAAATAACTTAATATTAATATTTTTTCTTATCATAATTATATCCTTCTAACAAAAAGAGATTATAAGATTAATATAAGTTGTATAAGCTTACTTTTCATTATCAACGCAACTAAACTTTTCTGTGTGCGTTGATTCTTCAGCAGCTAAATCTAAAGTGTTCGCGTTACTCTAATAATAGAAAAAGTAAACATTTTTATTTATTATAAAAATACTTTTTAAAAAATTATTTATATATAATAAAATTAAAAATAATAACTAAAAAGTTTGTTAGTAACAACTACTATAATGAGTCAATATACATAAATTAAAATTTATTACATATTAAGAATTAAAAATTTACGATAAACTCAAAATAAAAGTAAGGTTCATTTAGTATAAGTTATAATAATAGTGTATGGTGATATAAACTTTTATTAAAAATTTGACTTTGATAATTTAAAAAACAATTATTTTCGGTAATTTATAATAGTAAAAATATTTTATTAACTAGTAAAAAGTTAAAGTTAATGCATTAAATTATAAAAATATCAAATGTTGAGAAGGAAAAACTTTAATACTTAATAATATAATAATTAGAAATTAATATTTATATCGTTAAACAGTTTAAAAAAATATGTAATAAAACAGTTGCTGACTATAAAAAAACATTTAAGTGTAGCCTTATTATAATATTTCATGAACAAAAAAGGAAATTTATAAAATTTTTATAAATTTTCACAAAATAAACTAACTTAGGGAAATTGGCAATAGCGCGCGGTAAGTAACCCCCCCCCCCCCCCCCCACCAACCTCCTTAGGTAAGGATGTGATAAATAAAAATAACCGACACTTAATGAAAAACCAGTAGGGGGCAAGAACGGTCCCCTACACAAAATTTAGAAATCTAAAATTTTTAACTTCAGAAGAAGAGAGCTCGGTAACGTAACACCCCCAAAGACTATGGGGGCCTTTCAAAAACGGGTTTATTAAGTGAGCTGTGCGGCAGCCCACAAGGAAGCTTTCGAGGGCCCCCCCCGAGACTTTACTCTTTAAATTCGTAGAAATGGTGCGGGGGCCCGCGCGAACGCGAAGCCCCCAACTAGCATAAATTATGTGCTCCAGTCCCCCTTTAGGGGATGATACACAGCGCACGCCCCAGTGCAATGGCATGCCACCGTATAGCCAGTCCGCCTCGCTGATCACGAACTGACCGCACCAGGTAAGTGGAGAGCTGGGGTGAAATGGCGTGATTATTTATACTCAAATTTCAAGAGGTAAAAATACGGGAAACTTTGTTCACTGACATGTGCTTTTTTTATTTGTACAATTTACTTACTAAAAGAAACCAGTTTATCTAATTTAGCTTTGTTTGGACTTATTTGTAACCTTTTTTAAAAAATTAAAGTTAAAGAAAACGCGGCCCTAATAGTTTGATGTAGCAAGTACATTGCTGAATTAATATTCAAATAGGTTTTTTTTACATTCAAAAGTAATTTTTAACTTGTAAAGAGTTTTAAAAATAATATATTAATTTACAAAATGACTCGGATTATTATAAAAAGTTTTTAACGTAATTGATTTAGAGTAAAAAAAAACAAAGAATTTCCTATTTTTTTTTAATTTATAGCATACAGAATAATTATAAAGGGCATCTACAAAATGCCACGATATAGGAAACAGTGATCCTAAAATCAAGTTAATTAAATAAGTTATGTAAACAAGTAAAAAAATAATTTTTAAAATCCTTTTTCATGAAACTTAATAATCAATGTACATTACTCTTTCTAATAAAAAATTTCTATTATCATTTAAAACATTAACAAAATTAACTCTAATCTTTACCTATCTTAACTTCTATGTTTTTTTTTTTTATTATAAAATTATACTTAAATATTAAAAGGTAATAATTTATAGCAAGTTCCACCGGATGGGGGCCTTCAGGCGTATAAAATCGTTTTAAATTTTCATTTTTATCCAAAATTATGCCATTCTCCAGCAGTTCAGATGCCTAAATAAAAAGCTTAGCGCTTTTATTTCAGTTTTAGAAAACATTTTTCTTATAAATACTGTTTGTGGCTCCAGAGTTTCTACTGTGCTTTGAGGAGAACGGACTTATTTATTAAAAAAATTTATTTATTATTTTTTTTTATATATTAAAAAAAAAACTTTGGTTTTCAAGTTGCTCAACTTCATTATTTTTTGAAAAATTGGAAAACTACGAACAAAAAGTTAGAAAAAAGAATTTAATAATTTAAAATACGAAACTTGCTTGGCTATTGAGAATAATTTTTTTACAGCATGGCTATCTGAATGCAATTCTTCACTTTCAGTTTTAATTTCTGTGTAGAGTAAATCAAACATATTGTTAATAATTACCTTTCCAGTAAACAATTTTGTAAAAAAGCGTAAAAATAAGTTAACTAATATTTTATTATTAATAACAAATTTAAATTATTTTTTATTAAAAAGGAAAAATTTTAATAAATAATATACTATTATGTAATATACTTGTCTTCAAAAAAAAATAAAATTATAATTTTTTTATAATAAACTATTAGCATAGGACAAACTGTTTTTAAGTTAAGCCTAATGAATTTTCGTAAAGTAAAATGTACGGTCTTGCTAAATTTATTAATAGAAGCTTTTGACCTCATGATAAATTATTTACGGTGGGGACCTTATTGCTTACATTATACGTACAGAAAGTACAAAAGACAAAATCTCTTTTTATTCACATGAAAAGTTCAAACTGCTAATCTAGAAGTTATTTTCTTTCATGTTAATCATCCATACCTGCTTTGTAACTGATTTTAGTAAAGTAAAATTCTAAGCTGAATTTTAGTAACTGTAGTGTAAATTAGTAAATTAAATTTTATAAAAACCTAAGCTTTACTAAATTTATCAATTTTATAGAAGAGGGCTTAACGAATACTATTATAACTCCTTAAAATGTATTCTTTTTTGTTGAAGTACAGAATAAAAGTTAAATTTCTTATATATATAATTCCTTTACGAGGTTTCCAATTTCAACTTGAGATCTTCTAGTCGATTATGAGCTTTACAGACTTTTTAAATGGTTTTATTATAAGAACGACATGTGCGCAGCTCTAAATTTTTTACTATTAAAAAATTAGAAGTTTAAAGCTATTTATCTACTATTAAAAGATAGCAAATTATAAATGGGGTGTAGATTCAAGTAATGGACCACATGAATTTGCTTATAATTAAGTAATTTAGGGACCTCAGCAAAAAACTTATTATATTTTATTACTTTTTAATAAAGTGCACTTAATTTTTTTTAATGAAATGAAAATTCCCTTAAGTAAACTTTATTATATAATTTTACTTTTTAAAATATTTGGATTGAATCTTATTTTACGGAAATAAAAAATTCCTTAAGTAAATCTTAACAAGATTGTTAAGAAATACATATATATTTGTAATATATCACATGTATAAATAATCTAATTTACGTTAAAAGAATATAAATATTAAAATATTTAAAAGTAACCTTCTGGATGGCGAAGAGCTTCAAGTTCTTCAATATAATTCTCATCAGTTAACAATTGGTCTATTTTATGAAAAGTTTGACGTATAGCTTCTTGGTAGTTCCCTAAAAAAAGATTAAAAATAATAAAAAATAGTGTGTATAATAGATTAAACCTTCTTTAAAAGATGGAAGAGATTTTAACTCTCTCACAAAGTAGTTACTGCAAAACAGTGCAACTTCTCTACCGCCGTGGCCATCAAAAACTGCATAAATTCCCGGTGCTGCTTCCTCCATTCTTAATAAAATTCATAAAAATTTATATATAAAAACAATAAAAATATATAAAGTTATTTAAAAATTAATAGCAACAATTCAATGCTATGGCTATCCTCCATAAATCTTCTCCATCCTTGCATGCTACTCACACACCAAATTAAATTCCCTCGTACATCTTAAAAATTAAGTATCAATAATGTTACTACTATTTTCATAGTATTTTTGTAAAGACACCACGGCCGGAGCAGGTTTCTTTTTGGTGTTTGCTTTTTCTAAGTAGGGAGAAGATAATAACGCTCCCATGTCGAAATTAATAGTTTCGAAGTACTGTTTCAAACTTTGAAACTTTACTATTATAAATAATTTAAAAACGAATATAAACAACTTCAGTTAACCCCTTTAAGGAAATAGCATTCACCCTAAAGCAGAAAAATTCAAAGGAAAAGATTATTTGTATGTTATTACGAATTTATATTGTTTATGTTAAGTGATTTCCTGAAGTTGAAAATTATTGGCTTAGGAGGGAAACCACTGTACATATACTTTACTATAACAAAGATTAATATTAGGAATTAGCGAAACATCCATTTTGCATCGTAAGCATTTTAAGAAAAGTGACATAAAAATTGGCATGAATAGAGGTAAATCGGATGTAAGAATAATAATATGCTTTTTTTTAATAAGTTTGGTTTAACACAGTTTAAAATAACAGAAAGGCTTCGTTTGCTTAGTAGACAATGCATATAGAGCAAGTAAAATTGTGATAAAACTTTTCCTAATAAGTTGCCAAATTTATATATTAGACTTACGCAACCCCAAAAGTATAAATATAATTTCATTTTAGTAAAAAAGTTACGAGAATTATGTGGCGATGATCCTTCTTCGTTAAAACCTAAAAAGGTAATAATTTAGAGAGGTGCATTTTTTTTCAGGTGAAGTATAAGGCGTACTCTGTTCAGAATTGTATCATTAACTTTTCATTTTTTTTTTTTTTTTTCAATTAATTACCTTTTAAGTAATATTTATATAAATAAGAAAGACTTTTAAAATTTAATGTTTCGTCGTAAACAAAAAAGTGAGTAATTTTTATTAAAATTTTTTCCAACTTATGAGGTATAACCTTTTTATGCTCAACTTATGACTGCAGTATGCATCTAATATCTTAAAAAAATAACCAAGATAAATTTATAAAAAAATTATTTAATTTATTATAGAGAGAAAAGATTGTCTGCGAAAGCTACATACTACTATATTTAAAGTCAGCACTTTTAAAATATTCGGCAGCTATTTAAGAAGACTTTCAACCCTTTTCTTTCAGAAATTATATTTTTAGTAGTGACACTCCCTTCGTATTTATGACGGCTGTCATGTATAGTCATTATAATAAACGCTGTCTTACTTTTGTAGTTGTTGATTTTTTTTGATATTGTTAATTGTGTATTGTTTTCATAATTAAATTTGACTTAAAACTATCAAATTCACAATTTTTTATTATTTGACTCTCAATTTTTAGGCTCTACTTTCCTATTTCTGTTTTTATTATTCAAGGCCGTTAATATTATCATTTAATATTATAATGTTCTGTCCAGTATTAATATGTTAATGGTATATTATAATACAAAAATGAATTAAAAGTAAAAGATGCTAATGAGAAAGGATAACATCTCCCTTACATAAGATTGTTATAACTAACAAACAAAAAAAATGAATACCTGTGTGCTCTACATTTTAAGGGTACACAAGTAATCTGCTTTTGTTAAATGTAAGCTCAGAGAAGTGTAACTTTATATACTTGTGAGGTTAGAACTTTTGAGGGCAAAGCACATCTCAAATAGTGGCGGCATGCACATAGTTCAGGGGTGCACTAGTGAAAAGGAATTTAACCCGTCCAATCTGAGAAGTCAAATCTTCAGGAACATTGTTAGTACTGCGATGGTGACCCGGAGCTAACCACTTACTGCATTCTTCTACCTAGAAAATCGGGACTTTCACGATACTCCAGGAGTACGAGCGCTTACGAAACAATGCTAAGCGGTCTGCGCTCGAGTTACCGAGCATCCGCAAAGCGATTCTCCTGCTTGTTATCTTCCGGCAAGTTTAAAATAATAAACAAATTTTTGAAGAGTCTATTTTATTATGCTTTTGAATGTAATTGTATGTAATTTTTTATTCATACTACACTAGTTCTCGAAACATTTAGGCCTCAACATGTGATATTAACCTAACTGGAACCCATTTCCTAAGAAAAATTAAGTGGACGTGGGTCAGTTCGTAATAAAAAAGTGATATAAAAAATAAATATATAAGGTTAATGTAGAAAAAGATAAAAATTTAAAAGAATTGTAGTTTAATTATCTGACTGGCTTATTGAAAAATAAAAGACTTTGAGACTTTACTAATTTATAAATTAGGCAATATGCTCATTACGGAAGATTTGCAATATGACATTTCTTAAGTAATTTATCTCTAGAAAATTTAAAGAAACAGCATAGTTAAGTGAAATATGTGAAAACCTGTACTTCGGTTTAGAAATTATGATAAATGAGAGTTACACAAGTTTAAATATAGTTAAGGATTATAAGTTGTTTTTAAAGAACGAAAAGGAGGGTTATATTTATTTAAGTCGATATACTACTTTGGAAGCAGGAAAACTACTGTTTTTTGTTAAGAAAAAAAGAGCTTATGCGAAACTATGTCTAAATTAGTATGGATGTGTAATAGAAAGAAGTGACTATGAGAAGGTAAACCATAACTTAGTCAGAATGGAAAGTTTTAAAATAAGATCTGGTGGGTCGTAAAATGGGTGCAATGTGTAATTTGAACTAAGTGACTTGCAAGCTTTTAATTATATTTAAAAGGAAAAGAGTAATTTTACCTTGCTGGAGTAAACTCTGATAATCACGTGCTCATACTACGTAGTATACCATGTATTTATTATACCATGTCCGATTAGGTTCCACCTGTCTACCCACGACTTCCTCCTGAAGGTATAAATACTTTTCCTCTACAGGGTATTAAACTGTTCTCTCCTCATCTTTTTCTCTGTCATTCCTTGAAGACGAAAAGATTTTATATAAAATCTAAATGTAAGAAATTTTGGAAGCTATGATAAAAAAGTTGGCATTTTACACTATTTAGCTTCTTAGTAGTAGATTTAAAAAAGAATCAAAAACTGTATGGCGGAATTACTTTAAGATAAAGGGCGAGCATTAAGTATAGCATGGCCCAAAGAGAATGCAAAAGGTTATTAAAGACGGGCATCTTAGAATTGTTTGCTATAACCATTAGCAAATTCGCTGCCAAGTAGCGGAGCATAATTTGAGCTAAAAAATGTTACAGTATTAATCGTGTACTTGAGACTTTTATGAGAATGTGCGACGATTAGATAAGCTTAAATAATTTAAGCTATTTGAACCCTTAAGCCTTAAAAAATAAACTGGAAACAAGTATATTTATGAATTATGATACAAACGTGACAAGGCGAGAGCGCGGGGTCAAAAAAAAAATGCGACTGCTTACAATGCGCCAAAAAATCCTTAATACCGAGAAAATTGCCAAAAATGACAAATAGCAATAAATTTTATGAACCAGGATTTTTTTCTTATGTTGATTTACCGGTATTAAATCTTTGTAACTGGTATATTTATAAACTATTAGTTATATAATATAGTAGATAATTTATTTGATAAATTTAAAGACTCCTGGGAACACCACACACAATCAAAACCACTAATCAAAGGGAAGGAAAAAAAAAGAAAGTCGTGCTCGGGGGCTCTTATATATAAAAGATAACAATTAGCCCTCGCGCTCGCAAGGCACACCCCTCCAAGTCGCACGGATGCACATGGAGAGTAGCCTACTGTTAATGGTAAGCGGAAGAAGCGTGCGTTACCATTACAGCTGGTGCATATACCCAGAGCGGAACGACTAAAGCTAATAGAGATGAAGACTTCTCAAATCAAAATAGAAGTTCCAAAAACAATCGCGTTGGCCAGGGCCACCGCTTCCAGATCTTTGGCCACGCTGCAAGCTTTTTCGCTGCGCAACCTCGGTTGGTCAAATGCGGTGAGGGTCTTTTGATTGCGGTATGTACCAAAAAAGGAGACTCGCCGGCTAGATGTGCGAATTGCGGTGAGACACATACCGCCAAACTACCGAGGCTGCAAATGTTGCTCGCGGAGGCCCTTAGCAGCCTACCAACCTACGGGACCACGACATCCGATTACCACCTCGGATGCCACCATTACCCCAACTATATCCTATGCTCCCCACCTAGGAGCGAGTGCGCGCACCAATCTCCCCCCTGCTAATTATCTTATTAACATTGGTAACGCTGAGACAGTTACTCGACAACAAGAAGTACAGCGATCGCAACCGACTCTAAGGCCGCTGTTATCTATTTTGACGACGAATCTCTCGACCATGCTCCAGACGTGAGAGTGAGAATTTTTTTGCAAAGGCTTATAAATTCAGAGACTTATCACCTCCGATTACTGTTTGGAATGGGGTGGCATTCAGGAGAAAAAATCACGAGTTGCAGGAGATAATGCAACATGGAAGAATAGATATCTGTGCTGTCAGCGAAACACTGCTCTCCCCTAATATACCACTTAACATCTGCAAATTTGCAACGTATTACCGGGATCGATTCTACACCGGTGGTGGAGGAATAGCTGCCTTGATCAAGCGAGGCATCCAACTCCATTTGATAGCATTACCAGCTCTGCAAGGGAACGAGCCAGTTGGTGTTACCCTTTACCTAGCTAGACAGGGGTTCTTTACTGTAATATCAACCTATAACCGCACAGTCACTACTCACGTTGTTCGATATTGACGCTCTTCTAGTACATAACTTTGCGGCCATTTTATGTGGATATTTTAACTGTAAACATCCTCCGTGGAGCAGTGGGGTTGCAAATTGGAGCGGTTACATCCTTCTACGCTGAGGAACGCGGGTTGAGAGTCCTAAGGCCACAGTTGCTAATACACCCGGAGAGGATGTCGGGCACAAATGACGTGTTGGATATCGCCGTGTTAAAAAATATAAGCCTTTTAAAGGCTATTTAGGCGCTATATTAATTGTCGTCGGATCATTAGCCTGCCCTGCTCGAATTTGGTGACGAAAAGGAAGCAATTAACATACTCCTGATCTTATCACGATTTGAAACGAATTCACTGAATCATTCGAGAAGTCGCTCCCACTATTTACGACACCACTGGGACTCCCGCTAAACTAAATAATGCGGTTGTCGAATCTGAGCGCGCGGTGGCAGAAGCTCACAGCAAAACGACGATGACAACGTGAGGTTATGTTCCGCCCTAAACACCTTCATGAGGGGCTAAAGGCATTGATATGCGACAGCCGGCGACTCATTCTAGTAGTCATAGCCTTCCAATTCGCAGAAGACAAATTAGCGCTAAACCGCCTTAATCAGCTCATCATGAAAAAGCTGTTGGCAAGTATATACTGCCAATGGGTACCAAATTAAACGAAGTATCTAAAGCTGGTGACATCGGTCGCGCTTATTTTTGAAAATTGGTTGAGCAAGTTACAAATCGCGGGCATTGAACTCGACCACCACTTCGCAACGGCGAAACAGTAGCCGAAAGCGTTGAAAGATAAAGCGAAAGGCTCCCAGCCCAGACAGCATCACTAAACTGATGTTAAAACAGTTGCCAGAGGCTACAATGAATTATCTATGCGGCCTCGTCAACCCGGCTATTTTCCAGGGCGTTTGAATGGCGGTAGTCGTGATGTTACCAAAGGGGTCGCAACCATCTTCAGACTCTCACAACTACCAACCCACCTGCTTTTGTCGCAGTTCATAAGATAGCTGAAGCAATGATACTTAATCGTTTGAAGGCAATTGTGAACGCTCGTGGAATATTACCAGAGTTTCAGTTTGGATTTTACAAGGTACACTTAACGTCCCAACAAATTTTTCGCCTAACCGAGTGGACGACCAGAGCCTTTAATTTTTAAATAAAGCCATCGGCGCTGCTCTCCTCGATGTTGAGACGACTTTTGATTGAGTATGGCATGCTGGCCTGTTATGCAAGCTACATGGTTTGGCGATATCGCACAGCCTTCATGAAGTTCTCAAGTCGTAGCTAACCGACAGGCCTTCTAACGTGCGAGTAGGTGCTCGCTGGCATCGCCTTGCCATCTTACAGCGGTAGTTCCGCAATGCTCTCTTCTATCACCGCTGTTATTAGCACATTATACGAGTGATATTGCTTTTTCGGGCCACCCTCGCCCGCGAGTCGTCATTTACGTGGATGGGTGGTGATTTATTCTTCGTCCAAGTCACCCGTTTTACTACGTCAGTATTTACAATCTTACCTCGAGCGCTTGCTAGCTGATGTCGTCAGTGGGACCACTCGACTAACGCAGCAAAGAGCAAGGCTCTTCTTATAACGAAAAAACGCCGTGCGCTACTGACATCCGTTAACTTTTAAAGGCATGGAAATTCCATGGTATTCTCGGGTAAAATACCTGCCATATAGATTCTGGGTTGTCGTGGCGTCCACACGTAAATTACGTGGCGCAAAAGGCCAAGGCTTTATGTGTCGCGCAATCGGCCGATTATGACATATGCATCACCTGTCTGGGGCCTACAACTTATTGGCAATAACGTCTTCACTTTAAGCGTGACAAAACAAACTGCACCATCTTTTAACACACGCGCTGTGATTTGTGCGCACCACTTCGATATGAACTCTGAAACGAGCTGCTAATGATGGCGTCGCCCTCTACGAACAGATAACTGGACACGCTAATCGCCTATTAGCGTGTGGAACGGAGCACATACCGCCGCCCACGCGACGCACTCTTAGCATGACGGTTGATAGCTAAGTTGGTGGTCTAACGTAAAGGGCACATGCTAAGGTAATTATTTTACTTGCACCCGTGGACGACTAAAAACCTGTTTGAGAGCTCGTTTATTCGAAGTTGTTAACTCGAACGAGTGCCAGGAAACGCCATTAATAAATAAATAAACAAATAAACCCTCGCCGGTTTAAGCCCTGGTCTATACACCACAGATAAAGACGTATCATTTTTAATAAATAAATAAACAAATAAACCCTCGCCGGTTTAAGCCCTGGTCTATACACCACAGATAAAGACGTATCATTTCACAATATTGGTTTTCTACAAAAAGGCTTATTAATAGATGAGCGAAGACAGTAACTACTTTACTTGTTTAAAAAATGGTAAAGGATTTTCCTCACGCGAGTTGACCAAAGAAAGTAGGAAATATAAACCTTTTTTTTCGCCTATACAGATCTATCCTTGAAAGTTATTATCAAATGTTTTATATATGTACATAAAATTAAACTATTAAATAAAGAACTAATTTTTAGCCTTCATTTAAAATTATAATTTAATTAAAATTCTTATAATAAACTTTAAAAAAGTTTCTAACCAGATTTTATTTATTATAACAATTTATATATAAGGCGCATGCTGTAAGGGTTTTTGGTATTTTAAGCTTGGCAATTATGATCAAAAGCTTTATATAAAACGAAATTTAAAATTTTATTTAATTCATTAATCACTCAGAGAAACTATATTCAATAAAAAAAATAGATATAAGCATAAACTGTTTTTCTTTAAAAGATGAATAGTTAAAACATTTAAACCGTCAAGAGGTAGTTTTTCAGTCTTCGGAATTCTATAAAACTATATAAAAATTATTACTATATTAACCAATATAATTCGTTTTTTATTCAATATGCAAAAAAAATATAATTTTTACTAATCTTATACAGTTTTTTACAAACAACTCGTGCAGACAAAAAACAATTCTAAATAAAAAAATTCCAATTTCACCCTTTTTAAAAAAATTTAAGAATCAATTTTGTTATAATGCGACTTTCAAAAATATCATTACTCTATTTTGGCTTTACAAAAAAATTTAATAGTCATATTATTTTCTCCTTCAATTTTTCAAAAAAACTTTTATCATCGTTTTTGCTATTCTGTATTTCTTCATCAAATTGCTTAAGAAGTTCTTTTTGTTTCTCTGTTAAATTTTTTGGTATTTTTACTTTAAAGGTAACAATTTGATCGCCTTTCTGGTAATTATTAAGCTTATAAAACCCTTTGCCTCGCAATTTTACTCGATCGCCAGGTTGTGTTCCTGGGGGAACCTACAAGTGGAAATTACAAATAAATTTTAATGATAAAGAAGAATTCGGCTAAAATTTAATTAAATTTAATTATATAATATATATATATATAAAAATCCGCAATAATTTATTTATAAAAAAAATTGCCTTCAGTTCCACATCTCCATACAGCGAGGGAACCCGGGCGACTCCCCCAAGACACGCCTGAGAAAGACTAATGTCTACATCCACATGCACATTATTTCCAATGCGTTTAAAAGTCTCGCTTTCTTTGACCTTAAAAAAATTAATCATTATAAATATTTCTGAATTAAAAAAATAAAAAAAAATTAAGAAAATGTAATTAATAATTAAAAAATAAAAATTATTTAAAAGAAATATTAATTATCATAAATATTAGAATTAAATAAAAAATTTAATAAATAATCAAAGGCACGTTCAACTGCAGAATTAAATTTCCTCGTGGAGCAGACGAGGGGCCAGCGTGGCCGCGATTACGGATTTGTAACTGCAAGCCACTTTCCACACCTAAAAAAATTATTTTATTAAAAAAAAAAGTAATTAAAAAATAAGTTATTTAAAAAAATAAAGTTTTATAAAACCAGTAGCTTCAAAAATTTAAATTTTTAAAAATTAGTGGTTATAAAAATATAAAGATTTAAAAGAATTAGCTTTGAAAAATAATTTTAAAAAGTATTATATAATCAATGGCTTGAAAAAAGGTATTATAAATCAATAGCTTTAAAAAAAAATTAAAAATAAGTTTTATAAAATCATTCGTTAAATAAAAATTTTTAATAAAAACAGTATTTTGAAAAATTATTAAAAAAATAATTTTTTCAAA